GGGGCGGCCACGCCCTGGGCCCTCCACGAGCTCTACGACGACTTCACGCCCTTCGACGACGCCGATTTCTACCCCACCACCTCCTTCTACGCCGACGGGGACGACGAGGACGAGCTGGAGGACGAGGAGGAAGAGGAGGAGGAGGAAGACAGGGAGCTGGAGGATGAGAACGGCTACCGGCCGCCCGCCTCGGCCGTGCCCGGCGCCGCCCCGGCCCCGCAGGACCCCCGGCCCACCGGGCGCCGGGACGCGGCCCCGCTGCCGTCGGGCGTGGCCGGGGGCAGCCCCACGGCCTGGCCACGGCCCGGGGAGCGGGGCCAGCCCGACAACGGCTCCGAGTGCCGGAGCGGGTACGTGCGGCACAACAGCTCCTGCCGCTCCCTCTGCGACCTCGTGCCCAGCTACTGCCACAACGGCGGCCAGTGCTACCTGGTGGAGAGCCACGGGGCCTTCTGCCGGTAAGGACGGGGACCCCGGGACCCTGGGGGGGGCTGGGGGACACGTGGGGGCTCGCCACCCCTGGGCACCCCATCCCTAGGCTCTCCATCCCCTGTGCCCCATTCTCAGTCTTCCCATCCCCATGTAACCCTGGGTTCTCCATCCCTGTGCATCTCATTCCCAGTCTTTCCATCCTCAGTATCTCCATCCCTGACCTCTCCATCGCCCTGTACCCCATTCCCAGGCTCTCCACCCTCTGCCCCTCACCCAGGTCCCTCCGGCCCCGCATCCCGATCCCGCCGGGACGCGGAGGGGTTTCCCTGCCCCCCCGAGCGGCGGCTGGGCAGGAATTAGGTCAGGGCTGTGCAGCCGCGGCTCCGGGGCGGCCGCGCTAATCGGCCCCGGCAGATGCGCCGGGGAGGCCGGTGCCGGCTGTGCCGCACGGATCGGGGCACGCCCCGCGCCTGGCACCGAGCCCGGCCCCGCGGGGGTCCCCCCAGCCCTGCTCCCACTGCTCCCGGCGCTGGGAACCCCCGGCGAGGGGGACCAGCATCAGTGGGGGACCCCGACCGCGCTGGCCCCCAGTGTCCCCATCTCACTCAGCCCCTGTTTTGCGGTGTGAAACCTCCATCCTTGGGAACACTTAGCCCCCAAATCTCCATCCCTGGGGACATTTAGCCCCCCGAGCCCTCAGCTCCAAGGTCCCCCTCGGGGACCCGTTAACCTCCTCCCCCCCAGACACCCGTAATCCCCCCGATTGCAGACGCCACATCCCCCGAGGTCGCTCCGTGGGATGGGGGGGGACACGTTTTTGGGGCAGGGGTCGCTGACGGAGGTGCCCTGGCAGGTGCAACACGCAGGACTACACGTGGCACAAGGGCACGCGCTGCGAGTCCATCGTCACCGACTTCCAGGTGATGTGCGTGGCCGTGGGCTCGGCCGCGCTCGTGGTGCTGCTGCTCTTCATGCTCACCGTGTTCTTCGCCAAGAAGCTCTACCTGCTCAAGACGGAGAACAGCAAACTGCGCAAGACCAAGTGAGTGGCGCGGGGAGGGGACGGACGGCGCTGCCGCCCCCCGCGCTGCCCCCCGGACTGCCCCCAAACAGCCGCGGCGGGGGGTGGGCTCGGCTCCCGGCAGTAGCACCAGGGTTGGGTGTGATGCTCTGTCCCTGTGGGGACAGTGCTG